ACATGTTACCAAACGTTTCCAGCTAATATAAAATAACGACACTTATTTCCCGCCAAAGGGACGAGGCTCGTTTGGAAGTAGTAAGCAAACAAAAGGCGCAGATTACCTCGTTGGCACAGAACGAATCCATGTCACCATCAACACCATTCTTCTCGGCCCACTTTTCAACTGGATCTTTCTCAGGCACAACGACAGCTACCAGACAAGACTGAATGACAACAAAAAGACACGAAAATAAGCAAATCAGGAGGCAAAGAGCATTAAATAAACACGACAATGTTAACCCTTTGAACCGAAGAATGACTAGTATCTAATTGCTCCTTACAATATCACCCCTGAATCACACATGGAGGTCATGTGAATAAAGGAAATGATCACCAACTAAAGAAGCTCTTGATTACGAAACACATTCTCCTTGTCAGCACGTTAAGAAATTTATAGAAAACAGTATGGAGAATACGCAAACTGATATTAAGAAAAGAGTTCGCCAATTACCTTTTTGCTGTCGCCATGTACATAGACTTGATGAACCATTGAACACTGTGTGTAAACTTTCTCCACCTTCTCTGGTGCGATGTATTCTCCCTGGAGGAACAACAAATTTAAACTCCTTAGCAAGTTCTCTCCCGTAATGATTTACATGCCAAAATTTTACATTATGTTTTTTTGTTTCTAAAAACTTTACTCGTGCTTACTAATTCCAAATTGTACTCAACAACATCCACTGTTTCTTTGCGTTAAAAGTGAAACAATCTGATATGTCCATAAAAGATTTATTTTCGTAACACAAATAAATTTACCTGCGATAACTTGAAAATATGTTTTTTCCGATCGATCACCTTCAATGTACCATTCTGCAACAACAAACACAAAATACAACTCACTACTCATTGGAGGTCATTACGCAAGTGTAGCGGTATGGCAGAATATACTGTCTTAACTTGAAAAACGAGTTTCCTCTCTTAAAAATGACAAGTTCGCCACCACCATTATCAGTTTACCCTCTGATCTTCACTCATTTTCTATTTGAGGGCGAGCTTGTTACAACTGATGGGGCGAACTCGTTAAGATGGGAGCTAACTGGTAGAGGGGCGAGTTTGCAACGGGACGAAACCTCCAGATCATTCTACAGCAGGTATACTGTTTCTCATGAGTACATATTACACTCACCGGCTGCCATTCTCCCACGTCACCCGAGTGAAGCCAACCGTCTTCGTCAATGGCTTCTTTTGTCTTATCCTCGTCGTACAAGTATCCCTTGAACACATTCGGCCCATAAAAGCAAACCTGCCACGTGACATCAGAAAAGAGCCAATCAAAATGTGAGACAAAATTTGAATCAAACGTTGGGGTCAGTGAAAAGATTCTCACGAGGAAGAAAGGGAATCAAAAATGCTAATTTGTAGCCAAAGCAGAAAGATCATCTTGCTGGTTTCAATGATCTTGCTTTGAAATCGGATCATATGCTAATTTTCATATTAGCACATGAAAAAAGACAACAACAAACAGACAACAACAAAAAAACACGGAGATACAAACCTCGCCTTTTCCTTCTTTGGCGTAATACTCCATTTCAGGGACATCGACAAGTTTAATTTTGTTACAAGGCAGTGGCGGACCAACATGGCCTGAAAAAAAGAAATACACCACATCAATGGTATTATTCCAGGGTTCCAGGGTCTGAAGTTAGGTAAACTTACCGAGCTATGATGGCAACCGTAGAGAGGACATTCAATGAATGGCCAAGGCTCGGTTTTTCCAAGGGTGGATAACACTATCCCGAAGGTGGAGGCTCCGCCGTTTGCACCTCGCACGCTTTGTTGTAATCATGAAATTGGTGTGCCTGTGACCGTTTGGGATTTTTAACCGATTTACGATACCCCACGGTATCAACGAGCGCTTTCTCGTCACAATATTCCCACCAATAGCGTAGCCCCATTTTCTGTATATAAGCCACACACAACCCACAATTCCTCCAATCGCTATGACGAAGGGCTAACGATCGAAACGTCAGCTCTTAAACTCTTTACGGTAGCCAGTTTAAGTTATCAACTCAGTTGATAATATTAAATTGCCTTGTTATACTCTCTCACTGACGCAGCACCACAGTTTCTTTGCAAACTTACCCCCTTTATTTATGTCTCACTGAAATGCGAGTTTACTTGTCCCACGATAGCCCTGGAAAGCCCAGTTGGGTTCGGGAGTTAACTTTTGCGTTTACAGTTCATATTTTGCTCTCACCATAAGTTTGATCTCCTATCATCTGCAACGTAGCAGCAGCAGTGGTCTCTGTTTGACCATATCCTTCGAAAACCTATGGCGGGTACGAACCAAAAACACAAAATCAGCACTATTGATACCTGTATCTGTAGGTCTCCCCTCCTCCTTTCGCCCCGATCTCACAAAATTCCGAAGGATAACACGCATAAACCCGAATTCCATCTTAAATGCAGGTGACATTTTATAAACTTCTTGTAAAATGTCGCTGAAGGCTAATTTGCGATCCATCCACAATGATACAGGAAGTTCTTCGCTAAGGGGTTGCAAGATAATTTTTTTCTTTAACTCTGCAATTTTTTGTATCTACCTGACATCCAAGGGCGCATCTTAGGAAGATCATGACATCATCTCGAAGAGGAGCTGATCCAGAGATAACGAACCGTACCCTTCCACCAAGCGAGTTCTGTGGAATGTAAAATAAAAAAAAAATTCCCCGGTTTTTTCGGAAATTTGGAGTGATTGTCGAATGGATACGAACATAGTTACACAACCAAAGCCAGCGCTGGTAATCATGTGAAAAGAAAAACGGCCCATTGAAACTCAATAATACGTGACTAGGTCGAAGTTGTGTGGTAATATTCCATCTTAATGGTTCAGGGGCTTTCTAAACCAATCACAGGGCAGCGTTAACCCTTTACACACTAATATCAGTATACAGGCACTATCTAGGCACTGACAAGGATAATTTGTGGATAGCTTCGTTAGCTGGTGATCATTTCAATAATTCTCGTGACCTTAGTGTGTGATTTAGGGGTGATATTAGGTGCTAGTCACTCATAAGGGTTAAACGGTGAAGACACATCAGAGAAAGCAATCATATCTGATACACCGCTTCCTCCCAAAGGAACGTGTCGTGCAGTTTGCCCACAAATCAATTTTACTATCGACGAAGTAGTGAAGGAAGGACGATGTAGTAAGCAAGGAAGGAGGTTCTGAGATTTCAAGAAAATGACTCTTAGAAGATCAGGGTAGTCCTAGAAACTGTCATCACAAACGACATGGATTGATTCCTGGACTACAAGCCTGGAAAATCAATAGAAAACAATACGATAAACGCACCTGGATCTTCTTGAACACAAGGTAGTCCCATATACTATCGTTACGGACTATATTCCTAGAGGAGAGAGAGGAAAGTAGAGTCAACAATTTGGAACAGTCCTACAGGCACAAAATAAAAAAAAACCGTTCTTCGCATTTCTGCACATGTTGATTGACAAGTTAACCGAATGGTGAGGGCTTGATGTTCTGTGTTCCAAGATACGACCTCTGCTTGGAAATTTGAGCACACAAGGATAGAATAATTGGCATGAAACCCAAGAGGAGAATCCAAACTTTTAACTTTAAATGTACTTCAGGAACCAGGGTATCGATAAATGGATAGAAGAAGAATGCGATTACCTCTCTAGCTCTGCCTTCTTGAAACGCATGGCCAAGTTAAAGAGGAAACTCTTCACGGCGCTGGAAGACGCCTGTTTTATTACCTGAGAGATTGAGGAAGCGAAAATATTATTAACCCTTTCGACTGCAACATCAGAATGCACATTCTCCGTAATGTTCTTCAGAGCGTTAGGAAAAGAACAGAAAGAAAAATTTTATTTTTCAATTGCGTTATGCAATGGCAGGTTTTCAGTTAGTGCATTTTTAAATGCACGAACAGAGAATTTGCTACCGCACAACGTGTCCATCACATGAATTAATCTCAGCTGAGATTATCCCTCGTCACAAAGCAGTATAAAACTACAAGAGGCTTCAACTACAATCACACAGTCGTACATACCTTATCATACACTCTGTTAAGCACACGAGGTACAGAGACGAAAATTGTCGGCCTGGAAGCGAATAAAATTAAATAAACTGACTATTAACAACAATTTTATCCAAACCATCCATGGTAGCCTGAAACGGTTGCACAATGCGTACGCCTTTCGAGATTACATTGGTTAAAATTAAAAAATTAAAATTAAATTAATAAACATTTATATCGCGCAAATTCCATGTGAATATGTTCAAATGCGCGTTACAAACAAATATGAAAGAGCAAATTAACATAACATGATAAGAATCCCAACTGGTAGGAGGCAGACCAGTTGGCTATTTACAAAGCGTGCAGGAGTTGAGTTCGGGGCCACCGAAGACAAATCCATCTAGTGGCAGGAAGGAGGACTTGAACCCGGGACCTCCGGCTTACAAGTGCAGCGCCCTAACCACTAGGCCACGCTCGCCTCCTCCTACCATCCTATTTATATAAGCGTTTCTAAGCAACATTGATTGTTTTCTTTTGAAAGAGGTGAAAAGCTGATTGATCAAACCAACGTTCTCAAGGAAGAAATCAGGAAACTGGAAAGAGATAGGTAAGTTTTATCCTTTCTTAGTGGATCGTTAATGTGAAACCTCGATTGATGCAAACATTCCCAGCATTTCCTAAAGGTAATAGTAAAAGGAGACACAAAAAAAACTGGGAATGAAGTAATAAAGCTTGCTAATTGGGGACACTGTAAATAAGGAAACAAATATCGTAAATGAACAGAAACTCGTTAAAAACCCCAACTGGTAGGAGGCAGACCAGTTGGCTATTTACAAAGCGTGCAGGAGTTGACCTCGGGGCCTCAAAAACCCAAGTTGAGGTTATTTTCCTTTTCCTTTCCACAATGACCAACACCGAGTAATAAACCTTCGTACCCTAACATCAGTATGCATTTTCTCCGTCTTCTTATCAGCGCCTTAGGAAATTTAAGGAGACCAGTATAGGAAATACGCATGCTAATGTTAGGATGTAAAAGGATTTAGAGAATATGGATTTATACCAAGATACGCTAATCTATTCTCAAAATCTAACTGCAGTATCCAGTATAGATATTGTTAGGAGAAGTTACAGTTCTGGAAGTCACAGCGCTATGCATTGACTTACTTGAGAACTTGCAGATCTTCCAGAATGTTTCTTGCATTGCCACCATAGAAACCGACTTTTCCGCCATATGTGAATAACATCAGCTAGAGGAATGAAAACAGAAAATCAAGTTACAAGGTTTCGAGGAAAAAAGTAATAATAATAATAATAATAAAAATGATAATAATAATAATAATAATAATAATAGTAATAAAAATAATAAAACTTGCAAGTACAAATCCCCAATGAGTTGTCCGACATACGATCAACGCGTCAGCCGATAAACGAACAACGCGTCGGCCGAATAATCAATAAACCATCGGCCGACCCAAGAATTAAGCTAGAAATACGGTCAGCGTGATTAGCGGATGCAGATGCAGCGGCCAACATCCGACTGACGCGTTGCCGGCGCGTTCGCCGACACAAACACAAAGTTTAAAAAAAATACCATCAACGTGATCGACGAAGGCTGACGCGTAGGCCAACAGTCGACTAAGACGTTAACGACACGTTCGTCAACAAAACACAAAATAACAAAAATACGGTCAGCGTTGTTAGTGGAGACAAACGGTTAACTGACGCATTGCCAACGCGTTGCCGACGCGTTCCACGACGCAAACGAAATTACGGTCACCATGAAGTGCAAAAACAAGTTACAAGCGACGCGTCAACCGACATGTTGACTGCATCGCATTTGTTCACACCACAGGCTACGATGGTTTAAACGTCTGGTTGATTACCAACTTAAACTATTTGTTTCAGAGTTGAGTCACCTGAGCAAGTCTCTCGTACATGTGCGCCAACGGAAGGTACGAAATGTGAACATCCTCACTTGATATCAGAATTCCACACTAATAAACATTGATAGAGCAAGTTAGGGTAAAACACAACAAGTTGAACAGAAAGACGGTGTTTTTCAACCCGAGGCACAGGTATCCTCGGCAAAAACAATCATAAAAAGGGGGGAAGTTTCAAACGAAACTGAGGTATTACAAGATAATTTGGTTTTATAGACTGAGTTGATGAAGTACATTGGTCACCGCAAGGAGTTTTGAAAGTTGACACTTCAGGCGTTAGCTCTCACGCCATTCGAAGAAGGGCTAACGCAACGAAATGTCAGCGTCAGAAACTTTTTATGGTGGCCAATTTACATTATCAACTCAGAAACAACAATAACTGTCGTCACGCAATCCTCTATCTCCTTTTCTCCAGAGAAAACGCAAGTGGAGAAACGCGTTGCGTTACATTGAACGGCAAAATACACCGCTAGGTATATGCAAAGTCTTTCCAAGTTCATAGAACACAAAGTAAAAGGAGAGAGCTTAACAAACAAGATTAACAAGCAATATAAGATTATAAGATACCTCTTGAACGAGATAGACGAGTCCAGACAGCATTGCAATCGCATTTTTATGCGTTATCATGGCACCTTTAGCATTACCTGATCAAAATAGATATATTTACAAGCACACGTTATTCTTGTAACGGAAAAGACACACGAGTTATGATAGCTCTAAGTACCACAAGCGAAAAAAAAACCTTTATCGAGCATGGGTGCAACGTTTTTTGTTGGCCATCCAAGAAGAATAAATGTCTTTCCTACAACGAAAAAAAAAATCACTGACCTGTTGTACCACTTGTATAGCAGACAACGGCAAGATCCTCTGGCTTAGGAGGCTATTGGAGGAAAAAAAAAGAGAATTTATCACGCTCCTCAGAGTTCCTTGCAGAAAAGTTATAGGGCTGAGCAAAACTCATCATTGGCGGATCGGCACGAGCATTTTTTGCCCACTGGAAAGTATTCGACCTGAATAACGCGAACCGGCGGGAGATCTGCAAGGGGTCAGGCACTGATAACGAAGATTTATTAGTGCCAGGCCCCCAGCAAACTTCACGACGACTCGTCTCAAATCTTCCCGCGGGCGGAAAAACGCGCGTCCTACAGTGCTAATAAACCAAATAAAAGAAATAAACGATTCGACAAAGACACAACAAGGTAAAAAATACCCAACTGTTTGGGGGGGAGGGGGCAAACCAGTTGAATGTTTCTACTCGTGGCGTAGGATTCTCCAGTTGTGAGGTGTAACGGCTGTCCACTCACCAGTCTCTCGGTTCTGGCCACCGTTTAGTTTCCGGTTCACGTGTGTGGCCGTTTCGTTTCCGATCCAAAGTGTGATTCCCTAGGAATCAATCGTGTTGGAGGTTTCGTTTTGCACTTGCAGTTTGAAGTCATTCGTGAAAAACAGTCCGATTACGTGTCTTTGTTGTGCGTTGGCGACGAATTGGAATCTTTGAAATTAGAGCAGCTAACGGAAGCTATACTCGGTCGGCGAGCCGAAGTGTCTACAGAAGAAAAAGTTGGCCCGCCTAAAACGGTTATCACCGAGGCGAGACAACTCACCCTTCCGAATTGTTTCGAAATTAGTCCTACGCCACGTTAAATTCGTATCACAGCAAAATAGAACTAACGAATTGAACTCTGAAATTCAAGCTACCTTTTCCTGGTGCCTGTGATTTTTTCCTATTTCCTATTAAAAAAACAACAAACAAACATAAATATAAACACAAGTGAATAAATATCAACGTAAAAATATTAATCAGTGATTCTTGAACAAAACTAACAACATAGCTTCTCCGGTATGTCTTGCACATGTTTACCCTAGAGGGAGCATAGTAACAGTCTGTGTACCTTAAAAAAATCTTGCCTATATTTTATGGTGGCCAGCACCAGATGTTCAAATAGAAACATGCAGAGATAGCATAACAGTAAAAGCAGAGCGAAAAACGGAGAAAAATTTTGCGTTTGTCACGCAAACGTCAATTAGAAAATAAAAATTGTTGGGCAAAAACTTTATCCGAATTCCTCCTTTGCTGTACTTACTTCTAATTCTCTAAAACAAGTGATTTTGATTCCAACTTTCTCTCCAGCTTCCTTTTCCTCATCTGTGACAGAAGATCCAATCTTTACAATGTTCTTCAACTTGGGACATTTGTCGGACTGTTCCAGCAACACTTTTATCTTGCTTTCATCGCAGACAACAGTTACCATTTTGGCTGCAAATAAAAGAAATTATAATAACCCAAACTTAATTGATATGTTCCTACACATCCTTCCACTCTCTTGTTTTGGCTGTCATAATCTTAAACATGAAAAGTTTAGGCTAACAAACTTATACCTGTCACGTCATAAATTTTTCAGGTTTCAGCCCTCACTCTTAAAGTTTCTGTCTTAGTCTGTACTCAAGCCAAATGGCCCACACAGCTGGAGGCTATCCAAGTTTTCCTAGCATGACCCAACTAGGAATAATATATAGA